TTTTTTCGAGCCTTTCGATCCGTGTGGCTAGCCGCCAATAAAGAGTTTCGGTGTTTGTACAGAACACGTTCTTCGCAGTAAGGTACAGTAGTGGGGAGACCAGAAAACAGGGAAAACGGAAACTGAAAACAAGCTCAAGTACCGAAGTGTACGGCAGCAACGGGCGTTGTGTGTGGCGTCTGTGTGTTGTGGCCAAGATAGGTCGGGCTGGGCGAGCCTTGGGACGCTCAGCTGCTGCGTAGACGAACGCAGCAGTAAACCACAGGGTCATTCTTCGTTTCTTTCATTTTTTGTTTTGTAGTTTGCCGGCGGCGAGAGGCCTGTTGCTGCTTGTCTCTCGCTGTACGTGGGGTGGGTATTTGATTGCTTGTGTTGCGTTTCTCTGTGGTAAATGTGAGGAGTAGTTGTTTGCGTGTGTTGCTTGTCTCTTGCCGTATGGTGGATGTTTTTTTTTTGAAATAGCTCGTGTGTGTGTCCCTCCGAAAACGCCCTATATTCGTGGTCGGTTCAAGTCGTCAGTATTCATGTCAAGCGCAAGGCTAAAGACGACGACTGTCGATAGGGCAATTCGATGCCGCGCTATGATGGGTCATCCAAGAACTTCGGAAGGTCCTTGTTCGACTAGTCTGCCCTACTTGTAGAACCTCTCGTGAACGTTGTGGTGGTCAGAGGTGATATTTATCCTTTTGTTTTCGTCGGGTTACTCTAATAGAGCTTCGAAACACTAGGTGCTTCGTTCGTTGCGGTTGTTGCTGTCGCTTCGAAGCTTTTGCGAGTTGACAAGTTCGCTTCCGGGCGGCGGTTCGCACCATGTGGTGGCTGCAGTCGTTGAATGCGATGGTGAGGTTCGTTCGCGTTGTTTGTGGGTCGTCCGTGTGCATCCTGTCCGAAGCTTCGTCCTGCATAATGTGTTGTCGTGTTGCGAGGGTAAGTGAGCGTTTTTAGTTTTTGTGTAACGTATTAGGGTGGTCGTGTGTTTGTGCTGTATTTTGTAACAGAGTCTCGCCGTCGGGCATTGCAGGGAGGGGAGGGGAGGCAGGACGCAGCGGGGCGGACGCACGTGGCCCTTGCTGGGGTGGACAGGGGGCAAGCCGTAACGACCCTGGAGCTGTGGATAGTGTCCTCTGTCCCGAAGTACGACGGCGGAGGTCGCGTATAAGTATCCTGGGTAGTTGGACGCCGAAGAGTAAACGGTTTAATCAAGGCGCTGCCTCGACATACGTGGACGAGGTCTTGCTGTATGCAGAGAACGCACCCAGCCTTAACATACGTGGACGAACCCCTGCTGCATGCTTGTGGAACTCGTGAAGGGCGGAATTTGATCCATGCAAAGCAGATTGAACTTGATATGGTAGTCTACAGCTTTCCTTTTTCATGCGGAAAGGTCGGTGTCCACGGGATAACCCTTCACCAGAGTATACATTGTACCGGCAACCTCTTATTTTGCCGCTAGGTTTACTTTGGCGTATACCGAACCGGCACCAGACTTTCTGCTGAGTGTTTTTTTCTCACTGTATTTTGCTATTATCTACAGTAGATGGGTGCGATTGTCCGATTCAAGCACGTGCATCTCGAAAAAAGCGTACCTACAAAAAAGCGTACAGGTGATCGTAGGTATCTTCCTACGGGTAGGGAGACACATGCGACCAATATATCTGGAAATATAATATTATCTATGTTCTTCTAGCGGTCCGAGGATGTTGACCAAGGCACCGAATGCAGTGACCATTCGGGTGAAGATGTGGGCATGTGTAAGTGCCCACGAACAAGTCCCTCTCTCTCACTTCCACCTTTCTTGAAACTGGCACTCACGGCCGAGTAACTTCGTCCACGTTTGGCCATTCCTCGCCACATACCAAGAGGAAATATGCCTAAGCTGGTGAGAACGGTTGGTCACCACTTCAAGTGACTCTTGACTCTTCTTGTAGAGATAAAGAAAAATATTCTCATTGGCGTCGACGAGGAGATTCAAATAGTACTTGGTTTATACTTGTACTCAGTGCCAAATGTTGTCCTCGTCGTCTATAGGATACAAGCATGTTCTGTCACAAAACACCACCCTCGGAGGCTCTCACTGATGAAGTGAAGAACACGAACTCGTTGCTTCGAAAGAAAGAAGCTACGAAGACCGATCTCGGGAACTGATGGAATGCCAGACGGGTTGGCCAAAATCCTCAATACTATCTACAAATACTACTGCTGTAGTAGAGTTTTCTGTCGGCCACGTCTTTACACCAACCATTGTTCCATGTAGAGGCACCCTCGAGGAAGGCGATCCTGGCACGTGCCTGCCCAAGCCTGCCTAGTGTTTCTACGTAGTATGAGCCATCCCAACCAAGATCGAGCGCAAGTCAGTGGTGACCGTGTGAGGTGAAGACGTCGTCGTCGTTGTTGTTGGTAATTCATGACACAAACAATTTTGTACTTACTTGATATAATTGTAGTCTACGCGTGTACCGCGCTCCGGCATTATTATTATTATTTAGATATCCGTTAGGCTGAGTCTTACGGCGTGATTATTTCGGAGATTTTTTTTTTCTCTCGGACGGGGGGGGGTGGCCTTCACGGAAATAATTATCAAGATCCAATCGACCGTCTTTCGCTCCGAGCAGTTTGTTTTCGCGCGAGCGATTTTTTTTTGGGGCCACGTGCATGTTAGGGGGTGTCTAAGTGACAGTCCCGTACACACAGCCGTGGCTCCTCATTCGTCAACCACGACAGCACGCTACTGCTGTAGGGACGCACGAATCCATAACACCACCATGGTCGTGGAGGCGCTACTCCTACCCAGGAATGAACACTCCCATGATCTGCTGGAGTACCTCAGTCATACCAAACAGACTCCGAAGCACCTATCGCTCATCCAGAACGCGGCAGCTTACTACCAGTGCCTTGTCACCAAGCGGGAGGCCGGGACCATGTCAACCCAATAGAGGGATGCACACGCCAGGACCAACTACAAGAACTTCACCGTTCCAAGCTTCCTGTGTTGGTGGAAGACCGTGGTCATTCAAACCCCCCCGAGTTGGCTGACCCAAGACCTTATGGGCATGACCACCGGAAACGATTCAGGTAAGGGATAGACACGCACAAAGCATAGGCTGGCTGTACAACTGCAATAATAATACTGCTGTCGTAGTGTAGGCGCTCTCTCCCGCTGGTGCTGCGGTGCGTAGTCGTGCTGTTGGTACATCATGGCTGTAATAGACTTGTCGGGCACAAACCTTGGGCACACATACTCCAAGGGTTTCGTGGGAAATATTTCTGTACAACGAGAGATGAACACAAATCTTACCCACACCTTCTACGCATACGGTGTTTTGCCCCGGTCGCGATGCCGCTGCCTTTTGCCGCAGCCAAAAGGCTTTACAACACCGACGGTCTGGTTTGGTCCAAGTGCCTATCGTGTGGCCGTGAGATCAGGAGGGACTTCAACAGAATCTGGGACAGGCGAGTGGATTCGGATTATGTAGGTAGAGGCCGTGCTTTAGTGGCGGCGCCCCGCTCGTCGCTCGTGTTGCGCAATTTTTTGTACTAGAAGTACAGGCGGGACTTGGCCGCCCGGTACTGTGGCACAAATGACAAGGGGCGCAAGAGGCGCACACTTCACCTGCGTTCTGGGCAATACACAGGAGACATAGCATGCAGAGCACCCAGCACATCACACACAGAAGGAGGAGTGTGGGACATCGAAGCAAGACGCCGTCGCTGCTGTAGCTAACGGCAGGAAGATAAGCGGCTTGTTGGCGTGCGCGCTTGCGTGTTGTGTTGATATGCCTACAAAACAGCAATACGAGTGGACATAAGGGGGCAGTCATTCACAGGACGGACAGATCTAGGTGATATCTCGCTCACTCCGCATCTACTGCAGCAACCTGCTTGCGAATCGACGTAGTGGACGTCGAGATATACAGTTGTTTCGCGATAGAATGGCCCAGAAGTTAGAATGGCCCAGAAGTTCTTTCTTTTTTACTCCTTTTGTTCCAGGCACCGCCAGCAATTGCCAAAAACCCGCTGCTGCAACTTCGAGTTGGTGGTGACGGGTGCTATGCATACAGGCCGAAACAGATGAATGCGCCTGAACGCGAAAAATTACAGCGTTATTCTCCGTTTCGACAGTCCCAACTCGATGTAGTGCAAGGCGCAAGGCGTAACCCAGCACAGCAGCAGCAGTAGCAGCATGAGCCGAGCCTCAGGCACCAGTCGTACTTAAAGACTACAATATTCTGCGCAGGCACCTGCGGTGGTGGACGAAAGCTTTGTTTGTCTGTCATGTTGTAGCTGCTGCTTGACTTAAATGAGCTATTATAGTGCTGCGGCGTTGATTTAGGGTTACGTGTGAATGCTGCTGATGTTGCTGAAGAAGTTTTTCATCTACTCTCCGTGTCATGTGTATTTGCGAAGACTCTGTCATCGGTATTCATTTCGCACTGCATCATTATGTATTACCCCCGGGTTGCCGCTATCGGAAGGGAAGTGGGTAAAGAGTGGTACCTACCTCGCTCGTAGTACCTACACGTTGCCCGGTACCAAGTTTTCTTTTAGTCGCTCGAAATGGTTTTGGTTGTCGAATCAATTTGTCCACGCGAAACGCGCACTTCGAAGGTTTTACTTTGAGAGCTCAAGTTGCACCCGAATTCCCGCGTGTGTCGCCCTGTTCAGTTTCCTGGTGGACGGCGACCTCCCTTCCGGAATGCAGGCCGAAGATATCTGGGAGAATCTCCAGTTATACTTATGGTTCGAGGATAGGAGGACAGCTGGACGCAAGAAAGAAGTGGCTGCCGCTAATGCACGCGCGAAGTCTCAACCCATAGTGCTGACGGGGGACGACGACGGCAAGACAGAGGCGGAGAAGGGGGTGGAAGGAGCGGGGGCGGGTGAAGGGGGGGTAAAGAGGCGGGACCTCTCGGCCACTCGGAAGCGGCATTGAGATACGCCACAGCAAAAGCCCTGGCACGGGTCGAGGCTGCCAGGAATAATAAGGGGGAGGATGCAGACGTGGTGGAGGAGATTGCAGCTGGCATCAAGCCGGAGACAGCTGACGAGGAGGAGGGGAAGGAGCCTGAGGAAACGGCGGGGGACGCAGAAACCGAAGATGACCTAACGCGTCTGTACGGACCCAAACCCGAACACTGGCTGCACCCGGCTTCCCTCGTCTTCGCAATTTTCGGGAGGCCCGCTGGTACCAACGAGGATGTCGATCTGAAGCTCAAAATGACTAGTGGGAGGCCCAGTGGCACCAAAACGAAGGAGGCGGAGTCGGGATGTGCATCCGGGTCGGGATCTGCGTCCCCGACTCCGGAAGACGAGAGTAAACCTATTTGAGCACGAAAGGCCTTAAGTTGATGAACGGGGCCGGGGGTAAGCACAGCCGAGCGGAAATGAAGACGTTGGCACACGAGGTCAACGCAGAGAACAAGAAGCTCAAGGGTGCAGAAGCCGACGCTGTTCTGAAACGCCGTGTCTTGGAGGTCCTGTCCACTCCCCCCGAAGATTCCAAGAGTTCGTTGGAGTTGGTCGAAAGTGTCAAGGCGCTGACGAGGGCTGTCGTGAGCAAGGAGCTGCTCGACCAAGAGCAAGCCGAGCGTGCGCGTTGGAACGAGAGGGTCCGCGCAATGGAGAGCAAGCTAGCCCTGTGGGGCAAGATGGGGAAGGGGTCCACTGCAGAGGCTCAGGCGCTGGAAGAAGAGCTCCTCCACGCGTATGACCACCCCGTCGTCGCCCCCCTGTCTGTGGCAGCTCCAAGCGTGGCCGAAGGCGACGGAGAAGGGGTAGCCGGGGGTGAGGTGGCCGGGACGGAGGGTGGGGAGACATGAATGATGCGGTTGAAGTTTCGGAAGTCAGGATTTAAGGGGATGCACGGCGGTGGTAATTCCCACAAATCTATGGTTGTGTGCGGTTCGATGGTGCAGACTCCAAATTGATTTAGGGGTGACTTCCAACGCAGCTGGAGGGTAACTTGATTGCGGTGCGTAGAGACGGGGGGATGGACCTTTGCTTGTGTGTTCTCGTGTTTCTTTTTCAGGGGTGCTTGTAGCTGAGCTACCGCGTGTTTGCAGATTTCAACATGTGCGTATTGGTTCCGAAT